TTCATGTGCTACATCCAGTGGTACTCTATTATCATCAGAAGCAACTTCTTTGGTGCCAGATTTCTTCTTCCTAGGAGGTTTCCTCCTTTCCTTCCTGCTCCTTGGGGCATTCCAAATTGACCTAAGTCAGACAAATTCAGAGATCTTGTACCACGATTAGTAGAGTACCACTTGAGAAACTCAGGTAAATCACAATTATACTCTGATGCAGCAACTACATGAGAACATATGCCAATAGACTTGTACTGAAGGCATTTATCATCACATTTGTACTGAATGCCTGCTGTACCACATGAAGCAGTGGTTACCAAGTGAGGACTGCTTCCACTCTTAGATTTAACCATCATGTCCTTAGGTCCCAAACCAGGTGCATGTACTAAGGCATTTTCCTTCTCTGAGAGGAGAGCCTCTGCTTTCTCCCAAATCCCTTTACCAGTAGTAAAAGGAACTGTAGTGTTGGCGAGTCCATCCTGTAAATTTACTGAGAGCAACTTAATCTCTGGAGTGGTTGTACATTGCCCTATAGTAATGTCAGAAGATATAATTGATTCTTCTTGCGCTGTAGCACCAACAGTATGACGAACCAAGCATGAATGAAACTTATCAATATGCTTTTGCCTCTGAGGTTGGGTCATACAAAACCATTTCTCCTCCGATACAGCCAAAAATGAAAATTCAGAACGCAAACGATACTCTCCATACCCTATTATAGACTTCTCCATTTCCTTCTGCTGCTGTACCACCAAAGCCTTAACTTTCTCATTAAAAAGACCCCATTGATTTTTCTTGTAATGTAGTGATTCTTTGAGAAATGCATTTATTGATTCACTATGATTGGTATAAAAAGCAGTGGGAGGAGATCCAAGTCCTGCACTTTCTCTTACAAAACGCAAAGTGCTTTCCCGAATTTCAGGAGCTTTGACTCTGTGAAACCAATCATGAAAACCTCTATGTCCTGAGGATGCATTAGACAAACACTCGTTTTCAAGACCATCCCACTTACTCTTCAAACCAGCCAGCTTTACGTTAAACTCCAATGCATCACTGCAATCAACAAGCCCCTCGTGGTATACACCATCTGCTGTCCAACCAAAACTATCACGAATATATACCTTAGTTGCACTTGCAGGGTAATTATGTTCATGCGAATGTTTCTCAATATTCTGTTGTAAATGGCGAAAGCATCTCAAATGAACAGCAGCAGGGAAATTTCGTAATATTGCGTCAACTAGTGCCTTCTCTCCATCACTCCCAACAGCTTTAATACCAGCAAGTTTAGGCTTCAAGCCAATAAGTGTTGAAAGGAAATAATTGTATGTGCAAAAGAGCTTATGAGAATGAACCAACATAGGGCCTAATAGTATTGGTGAATGCTTTGTTTTACGATCCTGGAGCAAAAGATGACTATAAACAAGTGGAGTCACACTAAAATCTCCCAAGTTGAAAGTGGGATCAATTCCAAGAACACAGAAGTTAAATGGATCAACACAAAATCGAACAATATCATTAAGTTGTTGGTCAGTACAGAGCACAGCTATCGGTTCTGGTGCACATGTGACCTCCTGCACAAAGCATTCACCTTTCTCAGCATTCTTACATTGCTGCATAACAACAAAGAGCATATCT